CCCGGACTCGGCGAGGTGCCCGCATCCCAGCCCGCGCCGCAGCCTCTCCGGGGGGCCTCTGTGCCGCGCGCGGCGGGAGCGCGCCCGGCCCGGCTACGACGGGGACGCGCGCGCGGGGAGCGTCATGGCCGCGCTCCGGCGCCCCGGGGCCGCGCTGCCGCCGACGGTGCTGCTGCTGCTCGCGCTGAGCGTGTCCGCCGCCGCGGGAGCCGCGCCGGAGCAGGTGGGGCGGGCGGCCCGTGCCCGGGAGGGGGCCTGGGACCCCGCGCCGCCCCTGACGGCTCTCGCGCTCTGCCCCTTCCAGGTGTGCGGAGACGGGTGCTGCGCCGGCGCGGTGCGCAACGGCTCGGCGGTGGCCTCCGTCTGCGGCGCTCGGGTGGGCGCGGTGCTGCGGGGGCGCTGCTGCCTGGAGCGGGACCGGGACCGGGACCAGGAGGTCGTCGTGGGGTGAGTCCGCCGGCCCCGGCCCGCGCGCTCCGGGCGCTCGGAGCCGCGACCGAGCCCGTCCTGCGGCGCGCCTCTTCCGCACCCCCCCCCCCCCGGCCCGGGGGTCCCTTTTCCAAGGCGGCGGGCTTCACTAAGCAGACCGGATCCGCCGCTCCCAAAAGTGGCTGACAGCTGAGCTGGCCTGTTCAGGCGGCAGCCTCTCCCAATGTGCTCAATGTGTGTGCTGTTCCCGTACCTGAAGCGCCTTTTTAGGCCTCCAAATTAGTTGATTATTGGCTAGATAAATCAAAAAGTGAGCGCACTGAGCGTTGAGAAATCAGCGGCCCGCTGGGAAAGCCCGTTTTGCTTGAGCGCTTGCAACTATGCGCAGGCTGGAGCTTAGTGCCCAGCAAGGGCGCACTTGCCTGGGCAGGAAACGGCTGGCCGGACTCTCTCGCCCAGAGAGGTGCGGGCGGAGGGGAGGTGATGGCGCTGCAGCCATGCCGCGCTCACCGGGACCGGCGCCTGAACAGCGCGGACGCCAGCTGCCGCCCACTTGCGCAGGCCCGTGGGGCGGGTGGCCCGGTCTACTGCGCTGCTTTGCTCAGCGCTCAGCGCCTCGCGGGGGCTTCCTTCTTGTCCTGCCCATGAGCGCTGCCCTCGGAGGCAGAGTGTGGGCGCCCGGCAGACGGGGCGCTCAGCAGCTCAGGCGCAGCCGCCGCTCCAGCGCGGGGCCCAGCGGGAGCACGGAGGGCTGCAGGCGCGGTTGGGGCCGCCGGGAGCGGCCTGTCGGGCGCTTCTCCCGCCGTTGCAAGGAAGAGCTGCTGGAGGGCAGCAGCCTGGACGCGGTTGAGAATCGCTGGCTAATGCGGCTGCCGTCGCTCTCGCTCCCCAGGTTGGATCTCGGCAACTGCTCCCTGCACCAGCTTTGTTCCGGTTTCCCGGCAGCGAGCGCCGCTCTCATCATGTGAGTCCGACTGGCCACCGTCGCTGGGCTGGGCTGGGCTGGGCTCTTCCTCCAGCGGGGACAGGACCTCCCAGCGCGGGCTGGGGCTGGCTCCCCTTGGGGGCCCTGTTGCGGCTGGGGGTGAGGGAGCGTGTGAAGACGGCTGCTTGCCTTTCTTGCTCTGGGGCAACCACGATTTCCTCTCGGGCTGGCGGGGCTCTAAGAGCAGGCTCAAGTCAGCCTTTGTGGAGATGGTGCCCGTTTAAATGCCCTGCAGGTGCTGCGCATGCCTTTCTCAAGGTATGTGTGCAGCCTGAAAATGTAGTTTCTGAAAATGTCAAGCCCATGGGAAAAAATTGTTAGTTGGAGAGGGCAGGATCAGAATTTGGGAGAAATTAAGCATTTTTACTTCCTTCTACAGATGTGAAGTCTTCCAATGCTTTAGGAGTATCAACTGAATTATAGATACATTGCTTTACTCCTAAAGTCATAATTAAATGTAAACTCAGTTTGTACATTTTTAATTATTGTTTGAAGAACATATATTTTAAATTGTATTTATCAAACACGATGCTTATGCATAATATAAGGCTCAGAAGCAGCCTGTTGCTTATACAGGCTAGAAGAGTCAGGAAGTGCCGGGACAGGGGCAGCCGGGATGCGGCATCTGCCTGGGAAACCAGCTTGGTGGAGTGTGAACAAGAGACTCTATTCTATTTCTATTAGGAATCCAAACAGAGCATATTTAAGAAATTTTAAAGCGCTCTCATCCTGCAGCGTCACATATGATGTTTTATGCTCCTTTGTAAATAGTTTTCCTCATCCCAACTTTTGCTCATTTGGAAAAGTGGCCGCCTGGCCTCCATGCCCTAGGAAGCACGCTGTTGGGGCTTCTCAGGTGCAGACGATAACTTTTCCTGGCAGCAGTTCTATTATAGCCAAAGCTGCCAGGTTCCAGTTCCTGTATAGCTGAGGCAGCATTCCCTGGAGCTGAGGCCTAATTGGGACCTCATTTAAAAAGTGGCAGGGAGTTCCACAATCTCAAGCCCACAGGCTTTTGCTCTGCTTAAGTGCAGGCCAGACGAATCACACCTCGTTTCAGCCCATACACGCAGCTTCTGCCTCACACGAAAGGTGGGCTTAGAAGGACACCCACGGATTGCTGGAGCATCTAACCAGGAAAAGTCCCGGGGCACAGCCCTGCGGAGAACAGGACCCAGGCTGCCAGAAGGCACGATTTCATCCTATTCTGGGCCCAGCTGCACAATCGCCACAGGACGCTGCGGCTCGTTTGAGCCCGGGGGGCCACAGCATGTGTGGGCAGCCCTTTTGGCTACTCAGCCTTGAGCGTGGGGACTGCCACGGTTTCTTCGGTCATCTGAATCCAGGCAGAGACGGGTGAGGCAGAACGATCTTGAACCCGCAGTGGGCTGTGGTGATTGTGCCAAGTGAGCCATAGCCAAAATGACACTAAAATCTCATAAAAGCAGCATTTCAAAGCCACATTGAAGCCAAATAGCAACATGGATCATAGAATAGTAGAGTTCGAGGGGGCCAGGAAGGCCCTCGGGTCCAATCCCCTGCTGCTGCAGGACACCAGGTCACACCACCCCACTCAGGGGGCTGCCCAGCCTCTTTTTGAATGCCTCCAGTGTGGGAGAGCCCCCCAGCTCTCCAGGCAGCTGGTTCCACTCTCGTATTGCTCTGACAATGAGGAAGCTTTTCCTGATGTCCAGCCTGAGTCTGGCTTGTTGCAGCTTGACCTGTTTATTCCGTGTCCTGCTCTCTAGCATCAGCAAGAAGAGATCTTGACCTTCCTCTTTGTGATAGCTTTGGAGGTACTTTTCGAAGGATACCATGTCCCCCGTCGGCCTTCTCTTCCCAAGGCTGGACATGCCCAGTTCCCGCAGTCCCTCCTCACAGGGCACAGTTTCCTAACCCTGGATCATTTTTGTTGCCTACCTCTGGAACCTTTCTAATGTTTTGAATCTTTCTTGAATCTTGGTGCCCAGAACTGGACACGTTGTTCCAGGTGAGGTCTGCCATGGCAGCACAGTGGTTCACCTGGGGGGTGTGGGCTAGTCCACATTCCGAAACGGGGAGCATGCCAGCAGACGTGGCCCTTTGCGCAGTAAGGTGGACGAAGGGCTGGCGGCCACCGCAAGGCCGGCCGGGGCACGCCAAGCACCCGGCCCTTTGTTCTGTCCAAAGATGCACGGGATTCTGCCTCCAAAGTCTCCACGGTAAAAAGCATATTGCAGCAATGGCTTTCAAAAGGAGTGGAAGAAATCATGTTGTGAATCGTACGGAGTTAGGGAAAAACTCTCCCAGGCTGCAACATTTTTCATCTCTGCCCTTCCTGTGCAGTCGCTTTGGAGATGCTTTTGGGAGGCCTTGAGACTGGACGGCAGCCACGCACACCTCGCCTGGAGCGTCTCTTTCATCGTTCTAAAGGAACCCACTTTGTGGGTTGAACTGTTCCGTGCTTCCCTTCTTGGGAGGAGGAGGAAAGAGGGTCCGGGGGTGGGGTGAGGCGGGGCGCACGATCCGCTGGCCTTGTCTCTGGCGCAGCCCGGCTGGTGTGAGCACAGACGGTGCCCTGCGGTTCGCACGGCTACTGGGGAACGCGTGACGTGGGCCTGGCTGTTTTCGCTTTGGGTGGTGCGGGGCTGAGCCCCGCCGAGAAGCCTCTGCTGGCCCTGGCAGGGAATGCGGGCACAGGCCTGAGAGCACGGCGCCTTCTCCTCCGCTTCTCGTTGCAGTGACCTCACTGGGAACCCCCTGCAGTCTCTCCCGGAGGACACCTTCCGTGGATTCACCAAGCTGCAGACGCTGTGAGTGGCGTGGGGTGGGGTGGCGTGGGGCGACCGGCCGCTGCCACTCCCGCCAGGCCTTGACGAGGGCCCCGAGGGGCTGCGGGAAACCCCCATCCTGCAGCGGCTCCCTGGCTGGGAGCAGGGGGCCTCTGGCGCTTTGCCGCCCCCTTGCAGCGGGGCTGCGGCATCTGCGTCATGCTGGGCCAGGGCACTTGGGGTCGTCGCTGGCAGAGCCGCCTTGGCCTGGCCCCTGAGGGAACCGCCTTGGTCCCCAGAGCTTTGCCCCGGGAGCTGACCTGCCCTGGCGGCAGCGAAGGGTGGGACGACATCACCATCGACGGGAGCAGCCGTATCTGCCAGGGCCAGAGGAACCCCTGCAACGCCTCGGCGGGGCCCGGTATGTGCTGGTGGGGGGGCTTGCAGGTCGGGGTGGGGTGGGGGAGGGAGGCCGTCCCTTTGGGGAGCCGCCCAGGTCCCCCACGTGTCCCTGCAGTCGCCTGGCCTCAGGACCTCGCCTGCCCCGAGCACGTTCTTCCGTGCTTGGGCACCTCCACTCAGGAGAAAGGAAGGACTCAGGTAGCCATTGGAAGGGAAAGCACAGCGGCTGCACAGGTGGGGCGCAGGCAGCCCCGTGGCAGCAGTGAAGAGGGGCGGGACGCCTCGCACCCGTGGCCTGAGGAAGGGGTCTGCCCTGGCGGGGGGAGCCGGGGGGGGGCTCCGGCTGTGCAGGTGGGCCAAAGGGCTGGCTGGGTGGTGGGGCCAGGGCCTGTGGAGGCGGTGGCAGGCAGAGGGCCGGGTAGCGCAGGCCGGGCTGGGGGTCAGTGCCAGGGGGCCGAGTGTGCAGGAGTGTCCCCTCCCCCCACAGGCTGGCAGTGCCCCGAGGACGCGCACTGTGCCCCCGCCGGGCCTGGCTTGCCGCAGTGCCTCTGCACAGACCCCCACCACGGCTACAAGTGCATGCGGCAGGTGAGCCTTGGGCCCGAGCCGAGGGCAACGCGAGTGGGCGCACTCGCTCTGTCTCCCGAACCGAGGCCCTGCGGAGGGGCGGGTGGTGGGGCTTCGGCACCCTCGGTGCCCCTCCAGGAGTCCCCTCTGGGGGGGCGGCCACTCCTACGGCCGTGCAGAGGCCGGTCCAGGCATGCCCTCCCCAGGAGAGCTCCCGGGCACTTCCGGCAGAAAGCCCCCTTGGGCTGTGCGGGGGGTGGTGCGGGCTGACCTTGGCGGGGCCCGTCACCTCACCCCTCCTCCTCCTCCTCCTCCAGGGCGCCTTCCCCTACCTGCTCTTTTTCGGCACGCTGGGGGCTGCCACTGTCGCCCTGTCCGCTCTGCTGTGGGCCACGCAGTGGCACAAGCCCAAGAGCTCCTAGAGGGCCTCCTTCCTCCCGGCCGCCACACTCCAGCCCTTGCAGCTCTCCCGGGCAGGCGGCGGCCTGCACGGGCTCCTGAGCCGCCTGCTTCCCCGAACGCCACCGCCCTCGGGATGCCCCGCTCGCCAGGGGAGCGGCAGCACCGCCTCTCGCGCCACCGTGCCCCCCCCACGGCCCGGCAGGATGGGGGCCCGTGGCCCGGCCCGGCCAGAGGGGCCTGGGAGGCTTCTCCTCTGCGAGTGGGCGCCACCCGTCGGGCCTCGCCGGAAGCCTGCGAGCGGCTCTGTTGGCCGGAGGAGGGGGGCAAGATCCCGGAGGGGGGCACGCATCCCTCGACGTGCCTGGAAGGCTGTCACAGAGGGGAGGAGGGTCACGGCCGCTTCGTGCTGATGCCAGAATGATCAACTGAAGAGGCAAGCCAGGCTCAGGCTGGACATCAGGAAACGCTTCCCCGCCGTCCGAGCAACACGGCAGTGGCACCAGCTGCCCGGAGAGGTGGGAGGGCTCCCACCGCGGAGACCTTCAAAGAGACGGGAGAGCCCTTGGAGTGGGATGGTGTAAAATAGTGTCCCCAACAGCAGGGGCTGCCCCAACGGCCTTCCGCCCCCTCCCAGCTCTGCCGTGCTACGAACTGGGAGCAGCTCTCCTTTGGCGGAGGGAGAGGGATGCCTGCCACGAGCCACCCCCGAGGAGCCCCCGAGGGAGCCGGCCTTGCAGCCACAGCTACACATCTTCTGTGGCCTCGGGAAGCTGCCTTTCAACGTTCTACGCAATGTGTTTTGTGACGCTCTGAACGCGCAAACGGACGAAGTGGCCCGTGCCTCCTTTCAGTTGCCAGCGCTAAAACAACAGGGGCCACCGCAAGATGAGGAAGCAGGCGTGACGTACGCTCAGACACACCATGAAAGCCGCACCAGCGCCTGCTTTCAGATCTGCACAAAGAGCAGTTGCCGTGTTGTTTGCTCATGAAAGGAGGTCGGGGCGGGGGGGCAAGCCACGCAAAACGCAGCTGGGCAACGGCTCCATGTGAGACTTGGACCGCCCAACATGGATTGAGATCGCGGGGTTGCTTTTCCAACGTCTTTCGACGACAAATTTTGTTGCTACCGATCAGGAAGCTTTTGGTGTGTCTGCTGGGCTTCTGCTGGGAGAGCAGGCTCTTCACACGCAGCTTGATTTTGTGATTCAGTCAGCGCCCTGCCTTTCTCCAGGGAAATGCCCCCGTGGGAGGCATGGCCCTTGCCTCCCCCACCTGCCATTCCTTGCCGTCCCGGCACGGCTGGGCTCCCCGGCGTGGCACCTCTGCTTTCTTCCGTGCGGGAGCCTGCTGGGCTCCCTGGAGGCCCTCTGTGTGGCGGAGGGGGCCCCTGCTGCGGTGGAGGTGCTATTCCGCCTCTCCAGAGAGCACCAAGGAGCCGGGAAGTCTGGGGAGGAATGCCCCATGGGCCTTCAGAAGCAGGAGCCGGGAGGGCTGCTGGTAGCCTTTCCTGGCTGCGAGTGGCTGCGGGGCGTATCTTGCGCATGGGAGGCACTCGCTCCGGGAGGCAGCACTGGATTTCTGGGGAGGGAGCTCTGCCCTGTTTGGAAAACTCAATAAACTGCCCAAAGCTGCTCCTCTGGGCTTGTGTCTTGGTGAAGTCTTGCTTTCGTCTCACGCTTCAGATTGCGGTGGTGAAGTGGGGTGGGGGGGTACGAAAGAAAGGGTCTTTCCAGGGATGGCACCCCGTGCTGGAATACCCTGTCCAGAAAGCCTGGCCTAGTGTTTACACTGGTGCTTTGGTACCTCATGCCCACTTTCTGAAGCTTTCCAGGCCTTCAGCTTTGTTTTGAAGTCTGCTGCTTTCCCTCCACGTTGCTGCTGGCCATGGTCATCTGCTGCCACAAACTGGGCACATTAAGCCTCCAAAGGAGGAGGCTGAGGGTGGATGGGATGGTGCTGTACGAGTGCCTGAAAGACGGTTAAAAAGAGGAGGACCCGGATCTCCCCTTAATCCTCCCAGAGTGCAGGACACAGAATAACAGGCTCAAGTTGCAGGAAGCCGGGTTCTAGCTGAACAGGAAGAACTTCCTGTCAGAGCAGTACGAAAATGGAATCCAGCACCCAGGAAGCTTGTGGGATCTCCCACCAGAGAGATTCAAGCTGCAGCTGGGATGGTTTGGACGTGATGGTCCTCTGCCAATTCTTCCTATGATTCTATAAGAAAAGCCCTCCTGGGAGGTGAGGCCTCCTCCACCTCCCTTGGAAGCCCATTCCCTATCCAAGGGGTCCTAACCACAGCTCCCTCCAGCACATTTAAGTGGCCGATTGTCGGAGACGTCCAACACAAGCCACATCTGCCTACAAAGGAGGAACCGTCTCTAAAATGGAGGGCGTAAAAAGAAAGTTGGATGCAAAAGTCAAGAGGTTTAAATCTCAAAATGCTCAGAGGTTCCTCAAAACCATAACCAGCAGGCCACACAACCAGTGAGTCAGAAGGGGTCTCCCGGGCCATCTAGTCTGACCCCTGGCTCCACTTACGACATGCCTTCCGTGTGCATGTCTAGCCTATCTTTGAAGACCTGCACTGATGGGGCCTCAACCACCCCCCTGGAAGCCCATTCCACACCCTCGGGGTCCAGACTGTCAGGAAGTGCTTCCTGGCATCCAAACTTAACCTTGGTTCCCTGAGCTTGGCTCCGTTGGGACACATCCTGCCTTCCTCTGCAGGGGGAACAGGTCTCTACTCACCCCTGTATAACACCCCCTCACATTATTTTTATTTATTTGGAATGCTTACATGCCGCCCCATTCGCATAAGTCTCGGGGTGGCTTCCAATCCATAAATAAATACAATCTGTACAAGTACATAAAATACTGGAGACATCCTGGCAAAAAATTATAAAATCAATAAATAAAATCAACAATTAAAATAACGTTTACATAAAAAGGGCTTGGCCTGGCGCTGAAAAGCAAATAACGACGGAGCCAGGCAGACCTCTCTGGGGAGCGCATTCCACAGGTGGGGCGCCACTGCAGAGAAGGCCCTCCTCCGGGTACTCGCCCTCCTAATATCCTTCACGGAGGGTTCCCGGAGAAGGGCCTCTGCCACCAATCTCAAGGGGCAGGAGGGCACATATGGACACAACCGCTCCTTTAGGTAACCAGATCCCAAGCCGTTAAGGGCTCTGTAGGTGATAACCAGCACCTTGAATTGGGCCCAGACTTCGATGGGAAGCCAGTGAAGCTGACGAAGGACTGGAGTCATGGAGCACAACGCCCCGTCCCCGTCAGCAGCCTGGCAGCTCTATTTTGCACCATCGGAAGAATCTGGACCGTCTTCAAGGGCAGCGCCACGCAGAGCACGTTGCATAAGTCACATACCTGAATGTCTCCAACAGATCCCCTCTGAGTCTCCTCCAGCTGAAGAGACCCAGCTCCCTCAGTCCCTCCTCATATGGCGAATTAGCAAAGCCACACCAGGTCCAGGAGGGGCCACCAGCAAGATCAAAATGGTAGCCCAGCACCTGTGGGGACCCCACTCGCTGACGCAAGGCCGGTGCAGCCCCGCCAAGCCTGGCACAAGCCACAGCCTGCGGATGCAGAGCAAGCCCGGCCTCCTGCCGCCCCTTCTGTCCGTGCAGGACCGTAGCCCGGCTGCATGTTTTGCTCAGCGTGTGCTGCGCACCGTGGTCCTGAAGCAGCACGGCATGACCCAATGCGCGGGGCACCCCGGAGAGCCCGCGCGCTCAGCCCCAAGGCTGGCAGGGGCCCCGTGGTTTCCTGCAGCCAAGCGCCGCCCCCACGGCGGACCGGGGCGCCGCAATGGCTCCCCGCGGCCTGGGCGGGCTGCCCCAGGAGCCAAGCTGAGCGGGGTAAACGCTTCGGTGCAGCGACGCCCTAGGCTTGGCGGGCAGAAGACCTTAATCGCGCAAGCACGCGAAATTAACGGAAGGCACGACTTGGCCAAACTTAATTTGAAAAAAGATGCCTCGGCGGCTACCGACCGCATTCCGCGCACGCAGCCACGGGGGCACGTGCAGCGGGGCCACGGCGGGGCGGCGTGCGCGGGGAGCCCGGGACTCGCGCCGCCAGCCCGGCCCCCTCGGCGCAGCGCGACCGAGGCGGCCGCGTCCTGGGAGAGAGGGCGAGGCTGCGGCCTAGTCCGCCCCGGGCCCGCGGGCGGCGGGGTTGGGGCGAGGCGCCCCTGGGCGCGCCAGAGCCGCCCGGCCGCCGCCTGGCTCGCGCGCCCC